GTGTGTGTGTGTGTGTGGAGTGTGTGTATGTGTGGAGTGTGTGTGTGGAGTGTGTGTGTGTGTGTGGAGTGTGTGTGCTTGAGGCATTCTCTACTTCAGGCTAACCTTGAATTCCCTGGTAGCTGACAATGACCTTGAACTTCTGGTCTTTGTGCCTTTACTAATCAAGTGCTGAGATTATAGGCCTGTGCCACCACCATAATTGATGCAAGGATAGGCATGGAACCCAGGGCCTCAGGCATGCTAGGTGAGAACTTTGTCCACTGAGCCACATCCCAGACATTTGCTAATACAGTGTTACTGGAAAACATCAAAGAGTGGGCAGGCTTTTTGTACAAAACTTTGCAAGCAGTGGTCTTAAGTAAAGCATTTCCATTCTGTCAGCATCCACTTATTAGTGACTGACTACCCAGGAATCAAAGAAGCAGGTCGTGATATCTCTCCCAGGAAAGAAATTTCTACATACCCAACCTGGAATACCACAATTAGTAACTGGGACAAAGGGGAGGTAGATCACAACACTGTGACATTAATCCAAAATAGTTAGGGAAACCCCTATAATACCAATTAAACAATACAAACAGTGGGGGAAATTATCCATCTTCAAAGTATCTCAGGCTTCCCTTTCCCACCTGCTGAACAGAATGTTGGCTGGGATGTTCTCACCTTGCTTCCTTGACATTGTAACTATTACCCTCAAATAAACCATAGATAATTAGGACTACCAACAGGTTATCAAGTCCCACCCTGGAGAATGCCTCTCCTCAGTTTCATCAGAAGAGGCCCGAGTTTCGGAAAGTAGGAAAGAAACTCAAGTTGCCTTTGTGTAGAGGGTATTGTTGTTATTATTATTATTATTATTATTATTATTATTATTATTATTATTACTTTTCTGGAGCCCACTGGGTGGGAATGAGAGGTGGAAATCCAAACAAACATAGAAATCTATAGTATCTAAAAGAAGGGGATGTTAAGACCTCATGGTTACTAAATTAAAGCCTCATCAGCGTTTTGGTGTTGACCTTGAGATAGAGTTTTGTGGTTTTGTTTTGTGGGGTGTCTTTTTGTTTGTTTTATGGGGTTGTGTGTGTGTGTGTGTGTGTGTGTGTGTGTGTGTGTGTGTTTGGTTTTTTGTTTGTTTTTTGAGACAGAGTTTCCCTGTATTGCCTTGGCTATCTTGGAAATTCCTCTGTAAACCAGGCTGGCCTTGTACTCACAGAAATCCACCTGCCTCAGCCTCCCGAGCACTGGGATTAAAGGCGTTGTTGAAAGAGTTTCACATTGGTGGGAGGAGACTCTTTGATGCTAATGTAGAGTTCCAGTCTAGCAATATCTGAAACTGGAACTGAAATGACCCTGGCTAGTAAGGCTTTATGACCCAGCAGGCTCAGATGAAAATGAGGACCTGGATTTAACTAAACTGGTTTAGTTCTCCATGTAAAAAGACATGAAAAATGCCACCGGGGCTTCCTGATTGCATGGGAAGGAAGGAGATGTGTGAAAGGGGTGGTCAGAGAGATGCAGTTAGGAGGGTGAATGCAGGTAGCCTCGAGGGGATGTCTTCCTCTTTCTCAAAGACAGAGGGGACCTGGTAAAGCTGAGCATTGGCCAAGGCAACCACACTTTTGACTCCTTGGAGACATCGAGGCCTCTGGAGCATGGTCTCAGCTCAACATGCTGAACTTTAGCAAGACAGCTGACATCCTCCTGCCCCTAACAGTGCCCCCTTGGGTAAAAAGCTGGTGCCAGCCCTCTCTGCCCTCCCCACATCTGTAGCACACCCTCTCCCCTGCTCTTCAACTTAGTCACTTTTGTGGTCTAGATCCTGGTGTGTGGGGAAAGAAAAGAGATGAAGCAAGAGTGTTTGACAACTGGGCTATGTTTCAAGTACTGCCTAATCAGAACGTTATGGGATCTGTCCAAGATGTTAGAGTGGTGGGAACGCCTTTAATCCCAGTACCCTGGTGGCAGAGGCAGGAGGTTCTCTGTGAATCTGAGGCCAGCCTGGTCTACAGATGGAGTTCCAGGACAGCCAGGGCTACACAGAGAAACTCTGTCTCAAAAACCCCAAAACAAAACAAATAAACAGACATAAAACTGTCTGTGATGGTTTTCTGTTGCTATGAAGAGGCGCTATAACCAAAGCAATTCAAAGAAGAAAGTTTATCTGGGACTTACCATTTCAGAGAGTGAGTCCACAGTCATCAAGGTGTGGAGCATGGCAGCAAGCAGGCAGGCATGGCTCTGGAGCAGTAGCTGAGAGCTTAATTCCTGGCCCCCAACACAAGGGGGAGAGAGAGAGAGAGAGAGAGAGAGAGAGAGAGAGAGAGAGAGAGAGAGAGAAAACAATCACTGGGAATGACCTGGGCTTTTGAAGCTTGCAAGCCCAACCCCAATGACAATGATGTACCTCCTCCAACAAAGTCACACCTACTAATCCTTCCCAAACAGTTCCACCTACTGGACCAGCACTCAAATATATGAGCCTATGGGGGCCATTCATATTCAAATCATCACAATACCCCACTGAGACATCAAAGAAATTATACAACCATCTTATCATTAGCATAAAAATATTTAGTTTTACATTTTCACTTTATAGCTATGCCCATTTTTAAAGTATTGTTATATCATAGGACATTGGTATTGTTTTTTTAAAAAATGTTTTTACAATGCTAGTGATGGAACCCAGAGATCTGCACATACATAAATCCTCTATAGCTGAGTTACAAGTTAGACCTGATTGTAAGTATCAGCATTTGAATTATTAGTATTTGTTTGTTCCTGTAAATATTATTATTGTTGTTGTTATTAGATATCCACTGTCCTTGGATGCAGACTCTGAACACTTAGTCATGAGAAGATGGTTTGGAGTGATGCTGAGCCAGCTGATGTTTGGATGCTGTCTCCTCCTAACCCGGCAGCATTCCATTTTATCATTCCAGTGCTTTTCAGCCTGTACTGTGCTAGCAGCTGCGGTTCAATAAGAAAAAGAAGGCCCCCATCTTAGGATGCAAGCATGACCAGGACAGCAGGTCCGCTCTGCATCACTCCAGATCAGAATGCACAACACGTAGAAAACCCAGAAAATCCCTGCCATATGGAGGCGCTAAGTAAATATTCTCGTAAACATGAATAAATGGATGTAATCTGAAGTAGTAGTGGGGCCCAGCTTCAATTCCCCTTTTGTTTATGAAGCACATTTTATACAAGTTGGTTCTAATATCAAGACTATAGAGGGAGGTTTTCCTGTGTCCTGCCTGGTCCAGCAGTTGCTCGGTCCCAAGTAAACACACAGAGGCTGTAGCTGGAAGTTTCTCTGGTCCCACCAGGCACTGTGGTCCTGCAGCTGCTTATAAAATAATCACTCAGAGGCTTATGTTAATTACAAACTGTATGGCCTATGGCTTCAGCTTCTTTCTAGTTAGTTCTTTCACCTTAAATTAGCTCATTCCTATTAATCTGTCTGTTGCCACGTGGCCATGGTGTTACCAGCTGCTGGCATCTCTCCCAACTCCACCCTTTGTCTCTCTGTATCTTAGCTTGTATCTCCTGCCTGGCTGTAAGCTTTCCTGCCGTAGGCCCAAACAGCTTTATTTATAACTCCAATGGGAGCCACACATATCCACAGCATATAGAAAGACATCCCGTAGCAGAAACTGGCCCAATAGCAAAAGACAGATGCAAGGGAAGAGGGACCTCAGGCCCCTGTCACCCAGACAAAGACTAATCTGATCTTCCTTCTTCAAATGATCTGAATTAATTAGTCTAACTGATAAGAATCAAGCTCATGACAAAATGCCCCAAACCAAGCAATGGCCATGTGGAAGAACTCATTCAGGGTGTTGATACATGATGTTCTGACCTGTACATCTAGACTTTTACCTCCCACAATTTCAGGCAAGTTTTTAAGAAGCTGTCAATTAATTAAATGTTTAAAAGACTGAAGGATGTTAATGGTGAGAGTCATGGAATGAGTTTGAGAAAATTCTGGAAATAATATAAATAAAATAGAAGCACACTAGGACTAAATGAAGTAAAAGTGACAGCCCCAGACTTCAGAGGTGACGGGAATCCTTTCCAAAGGACACATAGGGAAATTCCAAGTTCAAAGGCAATGTCTTTAAAAGTTATTCTAGCCGGGCAATGGTGGTGCACACCTTTAATCCCAGCACTCGGGAGGCAGAGCCAGGTGGATCTCTGTGAGTTCGAGGCCAGC